CATCATATACAAATCGAGTCTCTCCATGTGACTGCATTACCAAGGAAAACTATTCTTGAGCACATGGAGATGCTCCATGTGTGGCAGAGTGTTTCCACTTCAGCCTGTTCTCTGATACCTGTCTCCTGCCTCTGGCATTTGGAGATCCCTTCCTTCTAAGCCTGGAGATTGTACATCCCAATCATGGCTTGTCACTTGCGATGGACTTTTCCTCAAGGAATCTGTCCCATCCCCTTTTGAAGGCATCTTTAAAAGGCCACAGGGACTGGTGAAACATTAGGAAGAAAAACCTTAAGAACATGGCCAAACAGCCCGGAAAACCCACAACAACCATCAGAGAAATACTTGCTGTCCATATCTGAAGGCAAAATATATAGAAAGAACTCAGGGATCTGACCATGGTCTTCTGCCTGGTTTCAACTAAGTAGACTCCATGATCTAAAGACCTGAAGGGCTTTTTAGGCCCTTTAAACATAGCCCACCTAAGCCCCATCAGCTAAAAGAAAATATCCAAAATGTTCATTTTGTGTTCAGGCAGAACCACTGCCTACAAGAGCAGTTGTTCTGCACTCAGCATTCACCAAACCACCAAACACAGAACAAATTAATAATGAATTTAGGTATTTAGCACTTCCTGTTGCTTCTCATTATTATAATGGTTGCCGCATTTTCAGAGATCATGTGGCCCACACTGGGTCTTACGAGCATACGAGTGAGCCTTGGGGCATCCAAATATGTCCGTCACTGCCTTAGGCAGCACATACAAAATCCTCAACTGGTGCAGCACAAAATCACAGAATAACACAGCAATTTTTATGTCACACTGCGTAGAGATAAATTCAGGAGATGGATTCCCCTAATTAAAAAAAAAAGGATACATACTTGAAGACTAAATATGGTTTTGACTTATTGGAGCTGAAGAGAATGGATCTCTCATTGCAGTAAACTTTACTGAGGGTTAGCAGTCCTGTGCGAGAACATTTCACACCGGTTAGGTACATTGCACATAAGCGTAAAATGCCATCTAGAAAATCTATCAAGACGATTGTCTGCTACACCACAAAATGGCAGAAGCCTTCAACTAGCAGAGGTGAGGAAAGGAGAAGCTGAGAAGAGGGCTAGGTTGCTACATGGTTGAGAAAGATAGCCAGAAAAACTAGATTCACATTTCCTTGCTATGATGTGCCTTGAAGTTGCCTCCAATTTTGGGTGACCCCATGAATGAGTGGTCTCCAAAATGTTCTGTCTTCAACAGCTCTGCTCAGATCTTTTAGACTCAACTGGGGCCCCCTTTAGGGAGTCAGTCCATCTTACTCTTTTCCTACTGCCTTCCACCTTTCCCTTCCATATTTTTACCTTCCATATTTAGTTGAGGAAAACAGTGGGGAGCGCAGTTTCCATGGAGTATGAGAAAGCTGTGTAAAACGTGAGGTTTCTGCAAAGAGCATTTTAAATTCCTGCAAATGAAAACTGTTCAGTGCCTTGATTTCAGGACAGAACTTAGATATCTTGGGTCAGTTGACAACCCTAGTACAGATACATGAAAAAGCAAGAATAAAAGAAAGAATAAAATAAAGACTGTACAATGCAGATTAATACCAAGATTAAACCAAAACTAGCACAGCAAACTGATGCCCCAAACCAAAGTTTAGGTAAAAATGTATGTGGGTGCACATATATATATATGGATGTGAAAGCTGGACAGTTAAGAAAAGTGACAGAAAAACTAGGACTCACATTGGAAGTGGCCTTCTCTACAGTCAACATGACTCTTGAAAAGGGGTGTCTTAGGCTGCTGCTGGGGCTTGTGGGGTGCTCATGGTTTGCCCATAAGGAACTTTGAGGTGTGCCAGAGTTGTGTAAGAAGACTCGGGAATTGTGATACTGGTACAGTCAGTGACTTTCTCCCCGTCCGTTCTGCTCAGGGTATTTTTGTTTTTTCTTTTTTTTTGCTACACCAATGGACGGTCATTTGACTTGACCAAGGACATGTTATTCTATTGAGTCTTGAGGCTAGGGGAGAGAGGCCGGCTGGAAAGATCCTTTGTGAATCAGAATGACAGCCGGTGGGTTGCTTTTACTTATAACTGAGGAACGTGTGACTCATCCATAGAAGGTGGAGATGGTGCTTCGGAGGAACTTCAATCTCAGCCTAAGCCCCCAAAGCTGAAGTCCTTCTGCACATATTTTGTAAATAGCTAAATATTATGGAGTCCACTTTGGGGGAAAGGCTTAAGAAGAATATGTACAAGCTGGAACACATGAAGGGAACGGTAATGAGTCCAGAAAGCAAGCCCTGTGAGAAATGGTTGTGGTAGCTGAGCGTACTGAGCCTGGAATGGGAAAAATTATAAAAGAAGAAGAAAAGGCAATAAAAGCGTTCAGATTGGCTTTTAATTTGGGAATGGCCTGGCACTATTGCAGTTTTTAGTATGTTGTAGTTATGGTGTGTTTGAAATTTGTTTTAAAGAAGTGACATTTTTAATAGTGTCGGAGGTTTAATTCTATTTGAAGATCCTGATTCTAATTGATTGTAATTTTGAATGTATGTAAATGTTTTAGCTGTTGTACCCCACAGTGAGTCCCTTCATTGGGGGGAAAAGTAAGCCAATCAATCAATCAATCAATCAATCAATCAATCAATCAATCAATCAATATTGGAAGAGTTATCACAGGCAAGACGGAGCAAGCTTGCTTTCTGTAGCCCATTGAATCTATAAGGATTTGATGAGTCAATTCTGCAATTGCAAGAGATTTAATGGTCCCACTCTAGTTGTGACTTACTACACAAAGGAACAGGACTTCAGCCACTGTTTTGTTCTAGCAAACCTAGGTGCAGCCCTAAAACCATAGTGCTGGATCCAATTAAAGCAAAGTATAGTGCTAATACAATACCTCGTACTGCTTAAAGCACTCTCCAGGAAGCAGTTTAATTTATTTAGGCTGCAAACTCTTCTTCCCCGCCCCACTGGAGAATGGGTACTCAATTTATCAGCCTTGCAAATCCAGAAGGCTGAGTCAACCTTGAGCCAGCTATCTGAGCTTGTTGGACTCGAAACCAAGTCGTGAGCAGAGTCTTAATTGCAACACTGCAGTTTAGCCGTTGCACCACGAGGGCTCCTTGAGCCATCTTTTCTATTACAGTTTATACAAAGACCTCTGATAAGAATGAAACCCTGGCTGATTATTTACAGTTCAGCACTGTTCACGTATGATTTATTTATTTATTTATTTTATTTATTCCATTTATACCCCGCCAATCTGGTCATTGCGACCACTCTAGGCGGCTTACAACGCAACACGTTTATTGAGGGATTTTGCCTGTAAACAGTATAACATACATTGAGTTTAACTCAGTTCCTATGCATTTGGCCTTATTCATGGGTGTGTACAGGAGTGATAAGGAGAAGATGCGAAAGAAATACCCTCACAGTTTACTTCTCTTTGACTTTGGTTCCATCTATGGCCAGTTTTAACCCTCTTTCCCTTCCTTAGTCTGACTTGGTCATATGTTGAACACATCAAGCTAGGAAAGCATGGGCTTCTTAAGGACATGGATCCTAGATCCTTCTGTGGTTTAAGATAATATTATATGGATGAACCTATACACCATTTATTAATGTCTAAAGCCTTGAGGAATCGTTTGCCTGAGGCTCATGCTTCCATCTCTTATTGATACCCTTTCTTTCTTCTGTGGCATATCCAAAGGCCCACCCAGTTTTCATCTGTAAAAAGAGAGTCTGAAATCTCACATGAATGTATGAACAAGGTTTAATAAAGTTGGATAAATGAACAACTCTCCTATGTAATACTTATTATTCTATCACACCACGGATTTTTCCCCTAGTACATGAAATGAACCCTGCTGGTCTTTAAACAGCCACAAGCTGGATGTTGGCTGAGATTCAATGTCCTTTTTCCATATACTTCACAAGTTCATTTCTCTCTCTTCTCTCCTTTTTCCTCCTCAATCCTCTGAGGCCAGGAACCTTCCAGTCTCCTTTCAATGGTTCCTTTCCCCACAAATCTGATTTCCATGACAATAGCGGCAAGGCCGTTATCTCCAAGGTGAGAACATAACAGAACAAAACTTCAGAGTTACTGTTGTTACAGTCTGTCATTCCGAAAAAAGATGTCGCCACCAGGTCCATTACAGGTTATATGCCACACAAATTTCGCTATCTTCAGTCTTTGATTCTCCTCTTATTTCATACGTTTTTGTATTTATACACCCTAAAGCAAAGATGGGCAAAATGCATCCCATTTTACACCTAATAACTAGGTGTGAATTGCCACATTGACTCAATTTGCAACATGTGTCTAACAACCAACCACCATCTCCTTTTTGGGGAGCACTATGTATAAATATATTAATATTTTCCATGTAGTCTCACTCTTATGTCTGATGAAGTGGGCTGGGTCCATGAAAGCTCATATTAAAGTGTAACCATTAGTCTTTAAGATGCCCTAATGTGTTTGTCCTCTTTATTTGCTTTCGCTTTCGTTTTGTTTCTTGTCTGAGTTATGGGCATGTCATCCACTGTTTTCTTAATGGATGACTCTACTGGATGATAATCCAATGGCCAAACCGGAAGAAGTCTACATTTTCCCACCACTTCTGGTGTCCTCATAACATTTCAGTGTCCAGATTGCCAGAGATGGGAAAGATTGCAGTGCCCCAAAAAGATGGCATACCAGATACAATTGTATAGAAAATCCAGAGAAGGAAGAAGAGAAAGAGAAGGTAGAGGTCTTCTGCTCATCACCGATGCCAGGAGAGAGGGAGGCAGTGAAAATAAAGTGGCCTCAGGCATTGGGCTTCGATATATGGACATCTATTTATCTGTGAAGATTCTCAGTCATCCAGGTGAGGTTATCTGAATGTTGAGTCATGGCAACTGGATTTCTTCCTTATTAAGGAAACATTTCACTACTCATCCTTCTTCTATCAACTCTCCCCAGACTGAAGAAGTTACTTGGATGAGTAGCAAAACGTTTCGACCTAGTAAGAAAGAAATCCAGTTGACATGACTCAACTTCCAGATGGACATCTAGTCTAAGGAAATTAGTCCCCATTTCTGCATTCTGCTAAAGTTATATAATTTCTTATATATATAGGTTTTCCTAATTTTCCTAAAGTATCAAGAAGCCTGTATCCTAAGGACTGGAAACTTTACTCTTTTAAGGAGGTATAGTTTTCGGAATAGAAGCTGGGATTTCAGATTCTTTGCTGTCTTCTTCATCCCTAAACATCTGCTCCAATATTTTCTGCATTCTCCTCCTTTGCTGACCCTTCTTCTCTCTCCCTACCAGGAAGTAGAAGAATGGGTTAATAGCACTGTTCAAGGAGGCACAAATATACCCAAATTCAAAGTAATAAAGGCTGCCAAAATATACGTTACTCAGGTACAAACACTGAATGACATTCATTGGAAAAGCAAAAAGGAGGAAAAAGGAGAGAGCGAGCAAGATGGCATACAAAAGCTTTCGCCGCTTGTACTGTGGTGATATTAAGCAGACTTTGATTAATATGGCACTTGTGGAGATAATCATGCCTGGGATGAAAAACACGAGATTCAGGAGAAATTGGAGGTACCAGATAATACAGTTCTTGTTGTTCAGATAGAGGGTGAGATGCGCTGCTAAAAATGGCAAGGGGAGGGTCCATATTATGACACACAAAATGACAGGCAAGTGTTTTGGCTGGTGGTAATGATACGAAAGTGGAAAGAAGATAGACACACACCGGTCAATGCTGATGACTGTTAGGAAAAATTGACTTGCGCTGTAGGTGAAGAGGAAACCACTACGGAATACTGTCTTTAGTGGATCTTCATAGTTTGTAGAAGAAAATTTACCTATAAACCAATATACATTAATAGCAATCAGAGACACGGCCACACCAACATCAGCAACGGAGAGATTCAGGATGTAGGTGGTGAAACGATTCCTCTTGATGCAAAAGCCAAGAAACCAGATGACGATCCCGTTGCCCGCAATTCCAAAGAGGCTGATCAAAAGAGTGAAACCACTTGTTAGAATCATTCCTGTTCCATTAGTATCCACATTACTGTCAACATAACCACAATTTGAAAATGGACTGGAGGCCATCGTGCTTGATTATTTTTTTCCTCTGGGGTTTCTTCTGATGTAGACAATCCTGCTGAGCGTACGGGGGGGGGAGCAAAGAGAAGAGACAGTCAGTTTCAGATATTCTACTCATAAACTGGTGCAATTCAAGATTTATTTGGCCTGATTTCATGCATTTTGATTTTAGAGGAAAAAATTGTACTTATGTATGTATGTCTTAATTTCATTCCATCCCTGTTATTTCTTTAAATCATCCCAGAGTGCAGGACTTGCAACAAAGGGCTGAAGTTACAGGAAGCCAGATTTTGACTGAGTAGCAGGAAAAACTTTCTAACCATTAGAGCAGTATGACAATGGACTGGAGGCAGTCAGAGGGAGAGGCAGAACATCAGTAGCAGTGCCTGGAAGAGAGTCTGAGCTAGTGGGGAAACAGGATAATTTTCTTGAGTAGTCATGGGTAGAGATGGGGATGAAGCTTGATGACCCACAACCCATGAATTGCTCCCCCCAGTGACCCAACAAACAACAAATCCATTTGTCATTTGTGAGGTCATATTTTTTGACAGCCCCCTCAGCCTTCCTATGCTCCACGGGGCATAGCAAGAGGTGGGGAAAAGGGATCGAAGTGATCCCTCAGCCGCATTGCCTTCGGTAAGGCAGTGTGGCTGGAGGATCACTTTGGTCCCTGCTTTCCGTCCTCTTGCTTCAAGAAGCCAACTATCGGGAAGTACCCAAACAATTAAATTGTATTTATTTATTTTATTTATTAGATTTCTACCCCATCCCCCTAGACAGCGTCTACTACAGAGCCTTCTCAACTTTCCTTATCTGCTCTATTTCTCTATTATTGTTTAAATAATCCAAGCTTTTGATGGCAATATTTTGCACCATCTTCATCAGGGAAGGCAAGATGCGAACTATGCCTGTGGGGCATAGCAAGAGGAGGAAAAGCAAGAACCAAAGCCATCCTGTAGCCATGGGCTGGAGGATCTGTTTAATCCCTCTTTGATCCCTTCCCTCCTCTTCTTATGCCACACGGGCATAGGAAAAGGAGGAAAGAGGAACCAAGCCATCCCCCAGCACTTGGGGAGTGGGATTCCCTGAAGGAAAAATCCTTCTCTATTCATGCCTCCAAGGAACAGCTGATCTGCGGGAGCATAAGCCAATAGAGAACAAAGGGACAGATATAAAAGGGTTATATTCCTTGCTTCATATTCGTTGGGGTCTCTGGACCCCAAGAAATATGAAGCAACAAATATCTGATGAATGAGGGATATTTAATAAATTACCTGATTCATTTTTGCATTTGTCCCAATGTCTAGTCATGAGTCAACAGTGGAGAGGAAGGGAATGCAAAGAGAGAGGCAAACAGATAGCTTTGGGAGCCCCCACCCGTTCCTATCTGAGAATGCTGAAGCAGAGAGCCAGTTCAATGCTACAACATCTGCTCTCAGGATGATGATTGATTAGGCATCCTTCAGTCTCGAGAGACTATGGTAAGGTGCTCTGTATGGAGGACTTGGAACAGCATCTAGTGTGGCTGAGAAGGCCAATTTGGGAGTGACCATCCCTACCACACTGAAGACCAATACAATCTGTCCCCTGTCCAGCTTCCTAATTTTGCTGCTTTCATGACTCCCTCTTTGCCTCAGCCTGCTGGACAAGGATCTCTTCAAATTTAGAGAGGTCGTGATGCAAGCTGACGGCATACACCAAGATCCAGGTCTCTAGAGCCTGTGTCCTGAGCACACTCCTGTACTGCAGTGAGTCATGGACCCTTTGTGCATGGCAAGAGAGGAAGCTGAACACGTTCCATATGCATTTTCTCAGGATGAAACTCCCAGTAAATCCCATAAACATAATGCTGGCCACAGTGACTGGTGAAACATCAGGAAGAACAACCTTCAGAACACGGCCAAAGAGCCCGAAAAACCCACAACAACCATCAGTTCCACAATGCACGCAATGCACAATGCCTTGTCCACACCTCCGGTATCTACCATATTTGACGTATAGATATATTTATGAGATCATGAGAAGACAATTTTTATTCCATGAGTTTAGTCCAACTAATACATATTCCCCTCTGGAGCCATGCATGCTTGTTTTATCTGTGACCACTCACTGGAAATGAGACTCTTGATCACTCAGGAAAGTATTGCTTGAAATGGGCTCCCAACTACAGCCCTGAATGTTCTTGCATTTGACAGACTGGGGAAATTTTAGATAGCACAGGCTTTCCAGTCTACAACCTGGCAAATGCTTACATGAATCCAAACAGTGATTTGCAACCCAATGAGGTGGTGCACAGAGTAGAATTTCCATCTGTCCCCTACACTTAGCTTTGATTTCATCCTGCACTCTTAGTCTTAGCAAAATCCACAATATCTACCAATATAATACCAATATAGGTAAAGATAAAGGTTCCCCTTGACAATTTTTGTCCAGTCATGTTCGACTCTAGGGGGCGGTGCTCATCCCTGTTTCCAAGCCGTAGAGCCAGCATTTGTCCGAAGACAATCTTCCGTGGTCACGTGGCCAGTGCGACTTAGACACGGAACGCTGTTACCTTCCCACCGAGGTGGTCCCTATTTATCTACTCGCATTTGCATGCTTTTGAACCACTAAGCATACCAATATATGCATCCTCAATACCTTCCAAGATAGTAATTTGACCTTAAGCCAAAACATGGCTTAGAACAAAATCCTAACTAGTCCAGATGGCTAGGTGAAGCTAGGCTGGATCTAAATCCTTCCCAGTCTAAGGATGTCAGAAATTGCTTAGAAATATGGTCAATCTGGCATAAATTTATGCTTGCACAGTGCCTGTGTCTTCGGACTGTAGGAGATTTGGATCTGGAATAACCTGAGTTCGTTTTTTGCTTTCATCAACTCTCTTTTCCTTCTCTGTATCTTGTGCTGTCAGATTTTTGAAAACACCAGCAGAAGAAAGTGGAGCCGACACAGCAATATTTCTGCCACCAGGAGAACCTTCCGCCTATTCTCAGCTGCCTCCAGCCGCTGCATCTTTGAGTCTTGTCTCTTTCCCGATCAATTAGCCGGTCCTTCTGTGCTTACTGTTTGTGTATGCCTACCTTCACAAAAGGAAATGAAACTATTTTAAACCAGAGACGACTTTTTCCCCAAAATGCTGACAAGTCTATGGGTGAAAAGAGTCTCATTGTTTTCCTGGAAGCAGAAACTTCCATGGGGTAGCAATGAGTCCTCAACATGCTCAACATGCTCTCATGCTGTGTTGAGACAGCCTGTCTTAGCTGAGAATAAGATATTTTTTGAGAATCCTTCATGTTTCTGATTAGTTTAGAGTTTACAGAGGCAATCAGAGAGAGAGGAAGGCATGTGTCTGCTTGAATTGGAAAATGGCATTTTGCTGGGACTGCCCTCCCTTAAAGCGATTCTTCCATCAGTCAGAGAATTGGCCAGCCCCACCTCAAGAACAGCAGCTCTACAGCTGATCCAAAAAGGTCAAGCTTGTGCACAGATTGGGGTCAAAACAGATCACACCATGGGCTATATACCTTCTAGGAGTAGAGCCAGTGTGTGTGGCCTTGGGCAAGCTTCACAGTCCCATGATGCCCCCAATAGAAGGGAATAATAAACTACTTCTGAGTATTCTCTGCTTTGAAAACCCTGAAAAAGAGTCAGAATTAGAGATGAGCATGAATTTAAAAAATGATACTCATTTTGATTCCTGATTCAGCAAGATCAACAAATCATGAATTATGAATGTACAGGTTTTTTTCCCTGATGAATCAATTTGTCAATTCATTTTTGAATTTAAAACCCCATGAAACCTCCCCAAATACCTAGAGACACCAAATTCTCAGAGAAGCTTCCTCTGACTCTCCTTTAGAAGCTCTGCAGGTTTGGTGAAGTTTGGGTTTCAGACCTCTGGGTTACACACCCACAAACGGGTCCCCTCCTGGGCAAGTTCCCTCCACGCAACTAGAGACACCAAAATTACAGAGAAGCTGCCCCTGGCTCTTCTCTGGAAGACATCCAAGTTATATGTCCAAAAATTGAATCCCCCAGAAAAGTGCTGTTTTGCAGCTGACTTGAGGAAACCCAATCCTCACCAAACTTGGAGGAATTTTAGAGGAGAGTCTTGGGAAGCTTATCTGTGATGTTGGTGTCTCTGCTTGCCTGGGAGTGAGAACTTTCCTTGGGGGAAGGTCTTTGTGGGAATATAACTTGGACGTCTGAAACTTCACCAAATGGGGAGGGATTGCATAGGAAAGTCAGGGGAAGCTTCTCTGCAATTCTGGTGTATCAAGGTTCTGGGGATGAGGAATTATCAATTTGTTGCACAACTTTAGTGATTTGTTTTTTTTTTAATTGGTGCCCATCTCCAATCAGAATTGACTTCCTAGCACCTGATTTTTGTTATTATAAAAGTAGCTATGTGCAAACATTTGGGGACAGTGCTATATATATATATATGAACTCATCTTCTATATATATATAAAAATTGTGGGAGACAGAGACTAACCAATGCACTCATCCAGGAATTTGAATGGTCACCTCCATCAGTCCGGTGGCTCTGTTAATTCCACTGTATTTATGGTGCTGAATTAAAGTTGCCCCTTTTTTCTTTCAACAGACTTAGCATCATTTTCAACCCCTAATTTTATTTATTTATTATTTATTTAAAATATTTCCATATTTTTATGGAACCTTTCCTTAAACTATGGAACCTTTCCATATATCTCCTTTAAAAGAAATATTGACAAAAATATTTGTCCACACCTTTCTCCTTAAAAAGGACCCAAGGTGGCTTGCATCATTAAAAGACAACATTTAAAGCCATTTTTATGGAACCTTTCCTTAAAATATGGAACCTTTCCATATATCTCCTTTAAAAGAAATATTGACAAAAATATTTGTCCACACCTTTCTCCTTTAAAAGGACCCAAGGTGGCTTACATCATTAAAAGACAACATTTAAAGCCAAGAACAAGGAGTATAAAGAGGCAGCTTATACAATTAAAATGCAATATTAAAGCTAAAGACAATTATACAAATATTAATTGGAAACAAACACTGAGAAATGGTAATGTAAGCTGACAACTTCATTGGGTTCATTTTTCAAAGAATTCTACGATGTTCACATTAGTTCCACAAATGAGATGGAAAGAATTTTGAAATGTTGAAAATAAGGTGTCAGATAATGCAGATAAGATCTGTCAACTCTATCCAACACTCCCTGAGAGTGCTTATTATTTAGAATGTAGAAAAGACCTGTCTATCTCCAGAAGCAAAGACACCACATTGAACATCTATTTGTTTGTTTAAAATGTTGTTATCCACCTTTCTATTTAAAAGAACCCAAGTTTGTTTGTTTGTTTGTTTGCAAGATTTATTTATTTATTTACAAGCCGCACCATTATCAATGGTCTCTGAGTTGCCCTACTTCATTAGGAAGCCAATATTTAAAAGCTAAAAGCAGTAAGTATACAAAGATTTTAAAGGAATGAAAGAAGTATTATATCGATAATTGTACTGAAAAACATGGTTTGGATCTCCATTTTTAGGCACAGGTGCATCATTCAAATTCCAGAAATGGAAGATGGATCCCTTTTGCGCAAGAAGAAGGCAGAGGTGGATGAACAGGAAGGACTTCATTCTGTTTTCTCAACCCAAGAATTGACTTATCGTTCTGTAATTTATATTTATTACATCTGATAAGGACTGTGAAGGAAGATAAAGAGAGAAAGAGAGAGGTGGACAATTGAATCACAAGAAAAAGTTTCTCAACTTGTAAGTCCTACCTTCAACCATTCATGTCCATTTGCTTGCTGGCAGAAGCAGGCAAGCTTGAGATCTTTTCCTTCTAGAACATCAAAGTCTCATGCATAAAATCCTCTCTGTTTTCTGAAAAGCTTGTCCTTCTAGAAGTGAGGAAATTATCTTGGGCATAAGGTACAAGTGAGTAGCTTTATCTTTGTACAGGAAGGGAGGAGGCTCAGATAGAGAAAATGATGCCATTTCCAGGAAATCCATTACGTGGAAATCTACTAACCAATGCCAACATGAACTGCTTCCACTGGGTTCTTCAGAAATCTCTTATGTGGGGGGTAAGGGAGTTTCCCATAATTTAAAACTCAAAAGAAATCTGTGCTTTATCTTTCAGGTGTTCCAAAGCCTCCCCTACCTTTCAGTGTAGTTTGAAAACTAAGCACATGATAGGGAGTGCATTTCAAGTTTTGTCAATGCATGGTCTCCTCAGAACGCAAAGATACCCCCTCATAGACTGGGCTTGAGGCAGTGGTCCTTTTACGGTCTCTCTCCTGTAACTCATCTATAGTGCTCCTTCTTGTGTAATGAATGGTGCATCTTTAATTACCTGACTCATTGTTCTTTTCCCCAGAATCCTAAGACTCATTAGAACTAATTGCCCAACTCTGGAATAAAGCATTTCTCAGTGAAGGTGAAACTTTTTTGGGCTGTGCCTCCTTAAGTGTTGATGGAGAAAACCACACGTTTCCATGGTTCCTTGAATATCATTTGCAAATCTCATTGCATACAGGAAAGCAACATGTCAGGAAAAAGTGCTCAGTATAGCCTTTGCCCTAATATACTATTTTTACATAATAGGGAAGTCTCTCTCCTCACACAAAGCATAAACATACAGTTTGAAAAAATATATGTAAGAAAAACCAGACATATATGTAGAGCACTATTACACTGCTCTGGTTTCTGAAATAGAAGTGATGTATTAGGAAATTTCCATAGGTTCCTCCCCAACCCTCTGACTCTGTATTTATGTGTATGTGTTTGAGGAAGGCGTATGATCCAGTCACCCCTATATTATCTATGTTAGTCCTATTCTCTTCCATCTCAGACAACAAAGCTAGCTTTTGCTCTACACATAGGATAAGATCATAAGATCCCTTTCTCCCATTCACACCCCACATCTTGGCTTTCAAGCACATTATCCCATTTATTGTCTTAGACCAGCTAAAAGATTTTGAGTTGCTCAGGTTTAGCTTCCTCCATAAACAGAGGAAATGGTTTTAATTTAAGTTCCTCCCAACTTCTTTATCCTATTAAAGATGCCCGGCGCCCCTTGATATAGACTTAAAATAAATATTGAGGTTAGTTTATTGCCTGGTGTTTTTAGCTAAGAGGCTGCAGCTCTGATGGGCAGAGCAGAAAATGTTCAAACATCCTAGAGGTGTCATCATGGGAATGAAAGAGGAAGCAGTAAGGTGGTGGAAAGAGCTTTCTCTAATTCTGTTTTATTCCCTTTTAACTTTATTTCTACAACTCGTTTCTAAAGCAATGTTTGTATCTCGTACAAAAGCTTTGTATGAGTCCAAGAAAAACAGCTCTTCTTTGTATGATAACATCATAAGTCACAAGGGTTTTTTTTAAATACAACAACTTTTCAATCTTTTCTTCTATCTACAAGATTAAGAACCTTTTTTTTTTGCTGACATTTTGCAGCCTTCTATCTACCAGTCATCTCTCTGAGATACAAGATGTGATCAGGTCCATGTTTGAGAGCCTGTTCTACCCTTACATTCCTAAGGATACCTTGGTGAATGATGTGTGCAACCAAATCAGATGGGGAGCTGCTTTCATAGGGCAGAACCAGAGCTTGCTGAAGAGAGAAAAATATGTCTGCAGTTTATCATCATCCTGGAAAATATGAATGGAGTTATCACCTTTGTGCATCTTCTTGCCTTACGAGTCTGTACAGAAAGGATGTAAATTTCCAGTATCTGGCTTTCTGGAAAATCAAAGGGGGGAATCATAGAATCATAGAAGAATGAGGTTGGAAGGGGCCTGTAAGGCCATCAAGTCCAACCCCCTGCTCAAGGTAGGAATACAAGTCAAAGCGTATCTGATGGATGGTTGTCCAAATTCTTTGGAATGCCTTCAGTTTTGGAGTAGTACCACCTCCCAAGGTTCCATTGTCATGCTGCTCTAGCCACTAAAGAAATTAAAAAAATTAAAGGCTCATGTTACAGGAAGTCCTGATTACTTCCTGTAACTTGAGCTTATCGATGCCTGTCCTGGGCTCAGAGATAATTGAGAACAAATCCTGCTCCTCTATATAAGAATCTTTCAAGTATTTGAAGACTATTATCATATCTCCCCTCGGTCTTATTTTCTCAAGGCTAAACATGTCAAGTTCTTTCAGTCGTTTCTCATAGGGCTTGGTTTCCAGCCCCCTGTTCATCCTTGTTGCTCTCCTCTGAACTTATTTATTTATTTATTTATTTA